CCCCGAAATCCAAAAAGAAAAAGCATAAAATCACATTTCGAGCTGAAAGAAAATATGTGTCGAGTATTTTTTTGCAATAATGTACAGCATCGTCCGTTCGTACGGTGCGATCTGGCATGGGATAGGTCGCCGACCCACAACTACCTGGAGTTGCTAGGTAACTGCGTGTCCCAGATACAACCACCCCCAGCTTCCAGGTTACCGAGAACCGGAAATGCATCAGCCGCTCATTTGACCCGCTTTTTCCGCGCAATCGATAATCAAAACTCGCAATTCGCGGAAACAATTATCCAACAAACAAAAAATAATAATTCCCGAGATTGGATCAATGCGCGAATGCAAAACGGGAAATTGCTTTAACGTGCACTATATGCTTGTACATATATAGTTATGCAAATCATATATTTATGTTTATTGTAATGCAATCTATTTGTATTAAATATATATTGTTAATTATCAATATTTCAATTTCAATTGTCACATACTTCAAGTGACAAATTACAAAATTTATTTATATAATATTAGATTTACAAACCATGAAGTTCACATAAAAAAATACAAGTTACTTATGTAACTTACTTTATGTATCATATTATTCGACTTATTTCTTAAAAAAAAATATACTTTCGTATAAACGTTTCATTTTTTCCTTAACAACTGCTTTACTTTTTATTTATTTATTATTTTTCATAAAATGTAATTTTATAACATTAAATTATTAACTGAATTTAGTAAATACTTTTCACGATGATTTTCATTTTAACCTTCAACAAATCCGTGAAATATTTCTCATGTCATCAAAAAAGTAAAAACAATTATAACATTGATATCAGATCATAAAACCGATGTATTTTTTTACTTAAATGATGGCAGATACATGACCAACACTGGCTTAGGCATTGAAATATTTAAAGAAATAAAATCTATCATTTTTAATGACGCATTCCACAATAAATATAAATAATTGCATCATGCCATCAATACAAAATAGTGAAATGACTAAAGTATATTTATACTCGCAAACACAATTGAAAATTTTCCTAAAAAAATACATTTCAAGAAATTCAATTCAACTAATTATAATTAATACAAAAATGTAAGTAAAATAATAATCGCTGCTAACCTATTTACTTAATTCCTAATTTATGTATTGATTAAATACAATATTTATTTGCTTATATATTGGACCAAAGTGATAAATACAATATTTTACACTAAATACGATATAGTTTATTCATTAATCGATATCTAATACCTATCAATTTGAAACTAGATTTTAGTAAATAGAATTAATTACAGTTTAAATAACCATGCTGCGATCTGTACGGGTGGTGGATATCCTATCCAACAGAAATAGGTCATAGAATACAGGATTAAAAATCTATGGCATCGCTGAATATTGTAATAAATTTACTTGAAAAGATCACCACAACCCAGAAAAAAGGAGTATTCAAATTAATGCTACAACTCACGCACCAACAGAAGCAAACAATTAATTATCAAATTATCTAAAGGATGAATAACAACAAATCGTGAGTGTCGGTGATTCACGCTGAAAACATTACTCGACGCGTGCATATATCGATCAGTTTTCCAACGAAAACCGCTCTTCAAATCCGATCCCGATCAAATTTTCCCGGTAAAACAACGATTACGTAAGACGCCGCCGTCCGATCCACCTTACAATTCCTTTCTACGCAATCTGAATCATTTTGGTACAACAACAATCGAAATTGATCATACAAAAAAATAAAAAAATATATATCAATGTTGGTTCCATCCTTCGTTCAACAATGTTCTGATTGCGGTTTCCTTTACATCCGCATATGCAATAGGATTCAAAACTTAAATCGATTTCGAAACTGCATTAATTCGCATAAATACCAAGAATTATGAATCATGGAATTAGAATTGAATGACTCCAGTTCCGACGAGTACATAACACTGTTGTTATTGGGAATCGTTATATAAATATTTACGCTTGAAAAGAGTATTCGACGATAATGAGGGTTGAGAAGCTTCAAGTTGACCTGCTGTTCTGCCGCAGCTTTGGTGCGCTATAAAAGCACTCGTGTTCCTCGATGGAAAAGCCTCAAGTCTCGCGTGCTTCAGATTCTCTACATTTTCTTTAACGCGAGGTTAAACAAGCAAAGAGATCACGCAGATTGCGAAAACTAAAACACCTATCAAACCACAGGACTTTATAATATAGTGCTCATTTAACGTACGTTCGATAATACGTACATTATTATTATGACAAAAAAACCAGTTATATTATTATAGTAAATATATATTATTCCTAATAATTCGTACCAGTTGATTCAAAAACAGATGACGAATGCTTGAGCCAATATTTTCGTTGCCAAAAGTCACGCACAGATGATAAATTATTGAAGAACGGAAAATCCAAAACGAACATTCATTATCTTATGTTTTTCCATATAATTAAAAAAATATATAAGTCATGGTCCAGCAATCATAACCTTCAAATGTACTTTTGCCAAAATAAATTTGTTTTAACTATGTTCAATTCAGTGATAAATTTTATTGCTGCTCAATATTGCTCTAATTATCTATACTGGAGTGTCTGTTTTACATTATTTTTATAAAAGTTTGTTTATTGTTATTTTTATATTCTAAGATATATATATATATATTTAGTCGATATTTTTGGTATATTTATATTAAAAGCTATGTCTATCTAAATATATAGAGATAGAGTTATTCTGAATTGGAGTAAATCGAACCGGCGCAAAACGACGTTTACCTGTATTTGATTGAATGTATGGGAACAGTAGTGTTTAAAAAAATAGTATAAGAACATACATAATTGAAGCATGAATGAAAACAATGTTTATTTATTTATAAAAAAAATAATTAAATCAATTGAATTATTTATTTATTATTTTAATATTGTTCAATTGCCATATATTCAGGCTATATTTATTTACATTTTCAAATTTACGCTCGTAAAATCGAATGTCATCGATACGATGATTTACTTGCAGACGATCTTTTTTTACATAATCAGAAATACAACTCGGAAACTAATTTCGTGCAGATGTCGGACGTGAAAACATTAATAATTTTAAAATAAACATCCTTCAGATGCCAAAATAATTCGGACCTAGAACCTAACCTAACTGTCAAGAGCAACACACTCGGTTCATTTGTCTTTGCACCTGCGGCGGATAATTTGAAATATTCGAGGAATAAGGAAAATTCTCATTAAACGATTTTCAGTCCGATTGAAACGCTGTTATTTAAGAATTTAGGCCATAAATCGTATTGCGAATTAATAAATTTCATTTGTGATATAAGTTTATTAGAGCTACATACAAAGAAACAAAAGAATATTAGACAATTTTCATAACGATTTGGAGGTTAATTGACATATAATCTATCCAATTTAATTGAACCAATGGCAAATTACTGATTACTTACAGATTTTTCGGGTAGATTTATCCTCTTCAACAGAAACTTTGCTTGCAGATACACACAACCTAAATTATTATAATAAAAATCTAAGCACATTGCAATAAGGGGGCGCCACCTGTTTCGCAATATTCAGCAGAAATGAAGCTCAGCTCCACCTACGCTTTTAATAATAAACTATTGTATAAAAAGGATTATTTATGCAGGGATAAATTAAAAACTCATTTTCACATAAATTTATATTAATTGTTAATTATAGATTAATATCAAGGTTTTAAATAAAATCAAATGGTTCTTATTTTGCTCTTCCTCTACCTCTTCCTGTACCAACTTTTCCCCTCTTATTTGGCGTATTTTTCTTGTTTTCAGCCTTCCTTTTTGCGGGAGTCGTACCTAGAACAGTGAAGAATCCATCTAAACGGCCCTGTGTTGTGACTCCTCTAGCTTTTAACAATTTCTTGGCACCATTCCTTATCCTCTCTTCATTGAACTGTTTATCTCCACACAAGTATTTCACCAAACCCTCTTCATCTGGATCACTCCATTTCAGATCTATTTTCTCTGGGTCCATAATCTCTGGTTCTACAAATAGTTGCCTTGCCCCCTCAAAATTCCAATCCGCTGGTGGAACATACTTTTTGGTATCAATGTTCTTCAGAATCTCTTCAATACTTTTATGTTGTTTTATCAAATCAATTGCCCTTTTAGGTCCAATTCCTCTAATACTGTCTGTGTAATCGCAGCCTAGCAAAATGCACAGATCTATAAATTCTTTTTGAGTCAAGTCCATTCCCTGCAAGACTTTATCCAAGTGGAACTCTTGAATCGGCATTTTTCTTGCTTCACTGAATGTCATGTGTCTCAGCAATACAGATGATCCAAAAGTTAAAGCATCCATATCCTCAGTTGCTGTTCCAAACACTTTTCCAGACTTGACCATAGCAGCACACTGAGCTTCTGCTTCACATGGTGCTTCAATGAATGGTACTCCCATTAAGGTCAAAAGACTCTTGCAGTCCTCCGCATGTTGCTTCGTTACTTTAACCAAACGCCTATTAAATTTATCAATGTCAGCTTGATCACCTGCTTCCGTTGCCTTGTCCAATGCCTTCTGAGCCTCATCTCTTTTTTCCTTTCTTTTATTAAGTTCACCAGATTTCATTTGTGGAGGTTTACCATCAAACACATATACTGGTTTAATACCATTCTCTATAAGTCTGATTGTTCTGTAAAAGGTGCCCATCAGATGAGAGGTTGTTTCACCATCCACTGAAGTTAATTGAGCTCCTTCACTTCTAACAGCAATCAGAAATTGATACAAACACATGGAAGCATCAATAGCAATTTTTCTGCCAAAGTAATTTTTGATTTCACCTTCCTTTACTGCGTATGGTGCAATATCAGCCACAAGTTTGGAGAGCCCCAAAATTCCCATGATGGCTCTAAGTTATTAATGCACCAATTTTAAATAAATAACCTTTATTACTCAAAACCAATGTTGTACTCAAAATATATTGACTGATATTGACTCAATGGAACTTGTGTTTGCACGAATTTTGGCGCCAAGAAAACATTCGTACCAACTGAAGTAATTAGTGGTGGCGACATCTAGTAAACACATTAATTTTTAAAAATAATCAATTAAGCATTTTCTAAAAACAAAATCTGTATACAAATAGGCAAAAGAAATGCAAGAATTGACACTATAAGCTAAGTGAAAAGTTGCAAATGGAAGGTAGTGTTTTAGTTAGTGGCTCTCCGGGCATAAATTTAGCACCAATTGATACATTAAACACCAATGGCAATGCTGTTGTTCCAACAACATCAAGTCCCCAGGAAAATAAGTCCATCATTGTTAAACCTGGAGGCTCCAATGATGAGAAGGCTCCAGACAGTTCTGACAATATATCTCAAAAAACAAGAGGACCCAAAGGGAAAAAGAGGAAGAAACCAAAGGATAGTACAGCCCCACGGCATCCATTAACAGGTTAATTCCCATTCCTAACTTAAGGAGTATGCTAATTATCTAATAAACTTTAATTTCAGGATATGTCAGGTTCCTCAATGATAGGAGGGAATCAGTCAGAACTGAGAATCCCACATTACCATTTGCAGAAATAACCAAAATTTTAGCCAGTGAGTGGAGCAATTTACCAGCTGACCAGAAGCAGCAATATTTGGATGCAGCTGAACAGGATAGGGAAAGGTACACTAGAGAGTACAATGCTTATAAGCAAACTGATGCTTATAAACAGTTTACACAGCAGCAAAATGAAAAGAAGATGAAAGAGCAGAAAGATGACAAACCAGTAAGTTAATATATTGTATAATACTAGTTTTATTTCATGCAATATTTAGATGCAGATGCAACCAGTGACTATTCCAAAAGAAAAGGAGTTACAGAATAACAATGATTTGGACTTTTCATCGAATTTTGATATACCCATTTTCACTGAGGAGTTTTTGGATCACAACAAATTGCGTGATGCAGAATTGAGACAACTCAGGAAATCTAATACAGACTATGAACAGCAGAACTCTATATTGCATAAGCATATTGAAAACATGAAAGTAGGCATTGAAAAACTGGAAAATGAGATTATGCAACAGAAGAAAAACAACAATTCTTTGCAGCTACATTTGGAACATTTGAGAACTACACTGACAACTGGTTTTTCTAGTGTGAAATTGCCTGGTAATTACATTGTTTGATGCAATCATAATGAAATAATTGTATAATATTATCTCCATATTTTAGGTGTAAAGGAGGCAGCTTCCATTCAAACCATTGATAACTACATGTCGAATTTGCATTCGATATTGTTAGAGAACAGCAGCCACGATGCAAATTTGCTGCAAACCGTGAGGGACATTGTTGGAAGATTGGAGTTCAATGGATGACAGACGCGATTCAAAAGGGTTGTGAGACGCAAAGAGTTCTTCGAGTAATCGATTTTTTGCAAAAACAACACATTAATTGATTTCGGATTTATGTGATTCTTATAATTGCAATTTTCTTTACTCGTATAACGTATTTATACTGAAAATCGACTTGTATTGATTTCATTCCTTTTTTTTTAAATTGACGTTGAAATTCTTAATCAATAAAACAGGAAAATAAAACAATACACTATAATATTACCAAATGTATGTAATACGTTTGCTCCTGCAATTGAGGAGACAACGTGTATTTTATGAAATAAGTACATTTTAAATAGATTGAACTAAAACAATATATCATCAATATATGTGTATTAATTATATAAAGTCAAAACAGATATGAGAAACGAGAATAAAAGAAAATATGGTAAATACAGATCAAATTCATAGCTGCAATTATAGCTTGTATGAAAATAAGAGATCTCAATATGGAAAAATAACTAATAGCAGTTTTCGGCAAAAACTTTAAAGTAATCTAACTATATATAATATATTATGTAATCATCTATATGACGAAATAAATACATTTCTAATGGATCACCTAGTAGCACTATTATCTAATGTAAAAATATATGAATTAAGAATGTTATTTAGCATTTAATGCATAATAAGTTGCCTAACTTAAGTTAAGATTCATTATTAACTACAAAGCTATTAGTATAGAGCAATTTGCTGTTACTTTGACTTAATACAATATTCACATATCTTCTTACACAGATAACAACTTAGAACTAGAATCGATCAATCTTGAAAAAATGAAAATACATGATTTTATTCGCAAATGTTTAGTGCGTACGCTTCGATATGTAATATAACGTTTTATAGATATGTGTATTTGTTCTGAAATAATGCGTAGGTCGGTAATAATTAAATTTGCTGAAATATTAGAGGTGATTTTTGTCGGTACAAATTTTCCGTATATTTATTGAACGCAATACAGACACAATAATTGGAATGAATTATAAATCTCCCCTATTCATTCATGTATACAATAAACTTTGTTACATCAATATACAAAATTACTAGAGAAATTCAATATTTAAGTATTAATTATGAACATTCTTCATAACCATAAAGTCATGTGTTTAGATTTTTATCTAAATTAGGATAATCAGACAATTTTCCGATATGCATTTTTAGGACCATTGTCAAGATTTGATATTTTATTGAACCTTGTTATTTATTATTTTTTATTTGTAAATCTGTACAGTAATTATAAAATATCATTAATAAATAAACTGATTTGATCAAGGAAAATATAATACCGGATCACCAATTTGGATTCCGTAAGAAACACGCCAATATTGAACATATCCATATAGCCAGTAAGATCAAGCAATCACTGGAAGAAAAAAGCTATTGCACAGCAGCCTTTCAGGCATACGACAAAGTTTGGCATTTGAGTTTACTGTATAAGATAAAAAGGTTATCACCACACACGTTTTTAACATACTTATATCATTTATATGCGATCGACTACCAAATTAGGATGGAATATAAGATAACGCAGTTATTTCCCATCGCATCAGGCGTTCCGAAGGGAAGTATACTGGGACTTCTTCTTTACACAAATTTCAATAACTGCACAAACTACAGTTGCAGTTTATGCTGATGATACAGTAATTTTATAATCAAATATGGACCCGGTGGTTTCAAGACTACTTGAATCAAATTAGAAAAATGGCGAATAAAACCTAATGAAAAGAATAACAGTCACGTAATATTCACCCCGAAAAAAGGAAACAGTCACCATAAATAACGACATAATTCTAGAACCTGATGACCCCTAATATCAGAGTATAATTTTAGATATCCGACAAACATATTAGCACCAAACATTATAATAAAACAACTGCGTTGGTTGTTGGAACTTTCATTAGAAAATAAATTACTGACAATGAAAAGAGAAGTCCCGAATTGTGCGCCTGCTACATCATTTTTAAAACTTGTGTACACATATTATGTGTATTTTGGAATAGGTTTCACTATGCGAGTAAAATTCCAGAAAATTTGGAACGGATTAAACTCATTAAGCGAGGTTCCACTGTATTTTGTTATTTATTTTCATTGACATAACTATTTACTCATTTCCAACATGTATATTGTATATTTAAATTAATATTTCAATTTTAGTACGTTGAAACAATTTAATGTTCAGTTAATGAAAGGTTCGTTTAAATTCAATAATAATATACGTAATTTTTGATCGCACTGTGTACTTATGGGTATGTAAAAAATACAAAAAAAAGTAGGGAACGAATATAATTCTCTGATATTTACGGCACGTTGATCATTCAAGTTTTTCGCTATGGACTTAATCTATCCATATGCGTCCGCCGCGTTCGAAAGTCCCGCGTACAAAGTAATTAAGCACACGCATATTGACGGCTTCTGGCATCCCCTTCGTTTCATGCAAATTCGCATATTGTTTATCATCTAAAAACAATAGAGGATTTGCGTTTCATCGCTGTTTACCCTTTCTCTTATCGAATCATCGACCAAAAAATTATCTACAAACAATAAAAAAAAAGTTTATGGTGCTAATTTTTTTTTCGATGATACCTGAAATTGCATCAAATATAATAAAAATTACAGAAACATAATGGTAAAAAAATATCCATCAGTCAGTTACTTTCGTTCGTCTGAAGAATCGTGATCTTTTTGATACAATTCATGAAGATAATATTTCAAATTTGAATTGAATATGTAAGTATTAATTATTTAAATTTGAGTGCAGTTGCATCTGCATCGGACCTAATAATAATTACAACTATTTTTTACTATATTTTAACAATTCTCGTTATGACACCCACTATCTATTAAGACTTAAATACGCTTAGATTATACTTTTAATTTTAAACTTTTTATTGGGAGATTATGGTTTATTAATGTTATTGCATGTCCGTCGTATATGAAAATGTTTTTGCGTATTTTTTTTCAATATCACTTGTAACGTTTCAAATATGTAATGTCGCGACGTGTGAATTTATCGATAGATACAAAGTTGAATGGACAAGAGAAGATGAAAAAAATATAACTGAAAGACTAAAAAATGATAAAAAAAAGTAGAGGACACAAAGAAATGTACAAGAGCAATTACACACTTTCTTCGAACTTTATTTATCCCGAGATCACTTTGAGACGATTTCTTTATTAGTATTTTACAAAAGATTGCGCATAAATAATGATGTATATAATAAGAAATACGAGTGTTTCAACAAAAAAACACACTATTCTTAGTTTCGCTTTAGCCATAAGTGTGTTCAATAAATATGTTAAATATATACGTTTTTATACATAATAAAAAATTTAGTAAAGTATTTGTAAACATTACGTTTTGAAAAATATGTGTTCTTTTTGCTAATTGTTTAACATAACTAATTATTTTTTTTAACAAATTTGACTATAATTTACTTTCATTATTTCATTTTGAACTGAAATTTGTTTCTTTCAAGAACAAATAATATTTGTTCTTCTTCTTCTTCCTTTCCCCTTTTTCATTTGGCTTCTACCAATAAACCAAAACTTCCTTCTTCAGCACAATTAATCAAAATAGAAAACTTCTTTTAACGCAACTAAAAAATAACTATTAAATCAAACTTAAACTAACTTTTATAAAATATGTACATAGGAGAGATACGGCAAGACAGGTAAGAACAAGAAAAGTAACGGATCGAACATAAATATATAACGAATTTCGAACCGGGGTCCCAGCGGTTCAGTACTCAGGTTCTTGGAGAGATCTCGGAAGGGTATAAATTAGAAAGGTTAACACGTTAAAATCATATAGAGGCATTAGATGTTTTAAAAAACTTTAGAACTGCTCTGTAGACGCCAACGTCCTCGGATTGGATGAGACACCGTATGCAATATTTGTTATAAATATATTTCCCAACAATATTACCATAATTAAATATAGTATGATATTTATAGTAGTTTAATCAACAATTAAAATTAATTATATATAATATCTAATAATTATTTAAGTTTAATGAATTTAAATTTATTAAAGTATTTATTATTGAATGACACATCTATTATGTTCTTGTAAAGATATAAATTTATTTAAATTTATGTAATGTTTATTCAAATAAATAATACACATTCAGTCATTGATTTTGTATGCTCTACCAGTGTGGGAAAAAGCCATTCACGTGGCAAAACACAGGCAGCTAAGAAAAGGGTACAAAGAAAGACGGCATTGCGAAAATGTTGTTGTGTCCAACCACTAAGTTTGGGTACCACTGAGGTAATGCGCAATGTTTATTTTATTTTAGTGCCTTATTATGTGGAAATATACAATATGCAGAATAGACAGATCCCACGGAGGCAGTGACCGTTTGTGAAGTTTCTTCGTATTTTCAACTGATAACCAAACTGCAGAATAGACAGATCCCACAGAGAACAGTAACCTGAAGCGGAACGTCTTCTCAAAACTGTGCCTTAGTCCTCAAACTCCCACTCAGTATTAACTTTGAAAGTACAATAAGTATTTAGAAATAATCTGAGTAAAACCTTAGTCTTATAAGAATCTTAATATGATGAGCATAGTCTCAGATGAATCTTAAATCGACCAAGTAACAAATAAAGTTATGTAAAACCAAACGAATTTCATTAAATTCCCAACAACTGAGACTCCACAACGACAACATCAGAAAATATTCCACTATGTTCAGAATTCTATCCCTGGGATATAACAATGTAGCGCATATTCCACAATTTCCTGTGACTCGGCTGAAGTCATCGCAGGAACACCTCCTGTCGAACTGCTGACGAAAGAAAGATCCGAGCTATACTAAGAGAAAATGTCAACGAATAAAGTAGCCAAAAAGTTAGAAAACAATGACAATGTGGCAGGAAAAGTGGCAAACGTCATCGAAGGACTCGTAGATTAATACATTACATTGAACAGTGGACAGGGAGAAAGCACAGCGAAGTGAATTTCCATTTCCTACAGGCACTATCGGGGCATGCGTGATTCGAGAAGAGTCTCCACTTCATCAAGAAGAAGAACGACCCAAAGTGTTGGTACTGCCCAGGAGAGGATGATCCAGAGCACACCCACGCCGGTGAGCGAAGTGGAAGCACGAAGCGGAGGCCGGATAACATGCTGGATAGTCAGGAGAGATGGAACGTAGTATTGGGTTACGTAAAGGGCATAATGACTACCAAGGAGAAAAAGGAAAGAGAGAAATTTAGTGAGGCAGGAGGATGATGGTGAGATCGCCTGAAATGGCGGAGCAAGTGCAGAACGAGAGCACGAAGACATACCGACATGGCCAGAAAATCAGTGGCCAACACTAGGACATACATGTCTGGTCAAGAGAGGAGAGGTTTTACTGTCGTAAGAATTGCACAGTCACAAGGGTCCACTCATCTACAAAAAGGCGTTATAGTGGTAAAAACAGCATCCGAGATTATATATCGATATATGAAAAAATGAACATATACCACTTTAAAAAATAACGGCTCAAATATTAGTTTTATTTTTAAAATATTTTTTTATGTCGTGTAATTTTTATTTACAATCTGTTCA